CAGCCTGTCCCAGTCAGCCGTCGCTCCATGAGCTCGGTAAGGAGAGTGCTAAGGAGCCATTTGTCAGAGGGGTGATGCCCGCACCAGCCCCACCCTGCCAGCAGCGACACAAACTGTCAGCTCTGTCAGTCTATGGCCAAGCAGGCCCAGAGGACAAGGCCAGTCCCAGACAGGGGAGATCCCCTCTTCCCTGTTCCTGGAGTAACCTGGCGTAAACGCAGTGCCTCAGCCCAGCGCAGCCGGAGGGGATTTGTTGGCCCTGTCTGTGCAGCCCCTGGCTCAGCCAGCACCTCTGGGACTGTGRCAGACAGACACAAACACGACCAGAGCTCACAGGTGAGGTACCCCGGGATGGTTTATGGGGGTATCACTATCCCTTTYGCATCCCAGTGCTGCATACACATCACCAGGACACCTCCTGAACCCCAGCAGGACAAAAGGTTCCAGGAGGCTCCACAGGCTTGGCCTGAGCTTTCCTCACTGYGAACAAACCCCACAGTAGCACCCAAACAGCAGTCACAGATTGCTGGAATGGTCTCCCCCAGCCCAAGGGTCCCCAGGAGCTGGGAGTTCACAGAACTGCGCTGAGTCAGCAAAATCGCAGCCACCACAGCCCTGCCCACGGGCACCCAGGGGGGATGTCCTGGCCAYACCCGGCACCCTGAGTCCAGCAGCACCAGTCCTGGCTCACCCCGATGTCACCCAGGAGCTGCTGGWGCAGAGGACCCAGGTGATGAAAGTGCTTAKAGCCCCRCGGGAGGTGTAGGGGAGGATACACRCTGCCAGGAAAGGCACAAAGGAAAAGGACCGAAACTTCCCACCCAACCCCCAAAAGCAATGGCCAGCAGGACGCTGGAGTTGGCTCCATCCCTCCTCTCCTGCCTTTTCAGCTGCCTGTCCCTGCTCCACTGAGGGCAAGGGGCTACGGGGAAGCAGAGAGAACAGGGAAGGGGAGAGCTCGCAGGAATGGCAGAGCAGAGGGATTGCGGGCGCCTCCCCGCCCCACAGCCCAGCACTGCGACCCTTCCTCCCAGCCCAAGGTCAAGGGCTCTGCTCAAGGCAATTTCCCCGCTCGGCGTCCCCCGCTCTTCTCTCCYGGCTCGGACTGGGGGAACTGGTCAGAGAGGAGCAAAGGCAGTGAAGGACAGAGCGAGCGCTCCAGTCTCCCGGGCACCCGGGCATGGCAGCGCAGCGGCGCCGTGTCCGGCCGGGCAGCAGCAGCGAGATGGCGGGCTGTGACCCTGCTGCCCCGCGGGGTCCCTGCCGACATCCCCGCAGCCACCACCCTTCCTCCCCTCCCGTCCTTTCTCTCCATCAGCCACTCCTTCCCTCTCTCCATCCCCTCTTCYGTCCGTCCGTCCGTCCATCCAACCCTTCCCTCCGTCCTCTTCCTCCTGCCCCGCTCCCGATGGCGGTGCCGGTGCCGCTCCGGGGAGCCCCGGCTGGGCTCCGTTTGGTGGATGAAGCCGCCGGTTCCACGCCAGCTCCCGGGGCTCGGGTGCCCGGATTGTCCCGGAGCCCAGGGGTGGGGGAAGTTGGGCTCGGGCGGTGCCGGCCCCGTCCCGGTCCCGGTCCCGCCGCGCTCACCTGGCCCCGCGCCGGCCGGCGGCCACCGGGTGGATTCCATGGATCCGTACCGGGAAGAAGTGCGGCTGCCTTCCATCCGCAGCCCAGCGYTGTGCTCCGCCGGGGCGGGGGCTCCCGCAGCTCCCCCCGCACTGCTCCCGCTGCTTCCACCGCTCCCACCGCTGGGACCCCGCCGCTCCGCCGGGGCGGGGGCGCTCACTGATCCCTCCGCTCCGCTCCGACCCCACGGCTCCGCTCCGCCGGGGCGGGGGTCTCCTGCTCCCGCCGCTCCGCTCCCTCCGCTCCCTCCTCTCCCGCCGCTCCCACCGCTTCGATCCCACCTCTCCCAACGTTCTGCCGGGGCGGAGGCTCCCACCTCTCCCACCTCTCCGAGTCCTCCGCCGGCCGCCCCCGCCTGCAGCCCCCGGGCCCCGCAGTTTCACCCGGGGCTCGTCCCGAGCCCTTTCCGGCCGTTCCATCCCCAGATCAGCAGCATCGGCACAGATGGTAACAGCGGGTCCCGGGCAGTGAAGGCGCCCAGGCTCTGGGGGACACGGGGGTGAGACACGGGGGTGAGACACGGGGTGCAGGGGGTGAGGCACAGCACACAACAGCCCCCCCAAACCGCTGCGAGGTGCGGACCCAGGGCAGCTGCGCTTTCTGGTAGAAGCAACTTTTCCCCATGGAAAAACCCAGCAGCGAGAGTTTGAAGAAGGCTCCCAGGGCTGAAATCCAGCGCGCTGGCAGCMCCCAGCTCAGCAGGATCCCGGTGCTCTCTCCTCTCTCCAGCACAGCCAGTGCCGCTGTCCTGAGGGCTGTGCCCTGCAAACCCGCAGGGAACTGGGATGGCTGTGGGCTGTGTCCCTCCAGCTCACAGGGTTTGTGATCCCAGGGCTTCTGGCTGAGGATTCACAGCTGTGRGGGACACACCTCACCAGCCCCTTCCCCAAAACACACAGTGGGCACACGGTCCCCTGCTGGCACACTTCTCTGCCAGGAGGTWCCTGTAGGTGACACTGATGTCCCCACGCACAGGTTCCAGGGCTCAGGGACCCCCCAGCTTGGCAAGGTGGTTCAGGGACACTCTGGGAAGTGCCACTGGGCTGTAGAGCAGGGACACAACACAAGGGAGGGGTCTGAGGGATACCAGGCTCCGGTCCAGAACCAGCCAATGGGCTCTGCTTGCAGCAGCCTCACCTCAGCCAGTGAAACACAAACCTGAGTAAAATCTTGGAATTCYCATCTGCAACAGCCCAAGAAGAGCTCCTGACTTTTGATCCAGTCAAGTGATTGAAAGCAGAAGAGATGGTGCTTCCATTCTTCGAGGATAACTGTGGAATATAAACACAATGAGGAGACAAAAATTCAGTCTTGGTGTAAAAATAGGGGAAAAGAAGTCAGGACATGGGAGCTGCTGCTCTGGGTTAGAAATGCAGCAACAGCATCTTGCTCAAGAACTCCTCTGAAAACGCAGGAACACCTCTCCCAGGATCAGCACAGAGCTATGAGGCCAACAAGATGGGCTGTGACCCACCCCGAGCTGTAACAGCGATCCTGGGCAAATAGGGAGTTCCAGTATCCCAGTGAATTGTTCAGGAATGCCCTGGGTTTGTTGGGAAGTGCCAGGCCCCCAGCTGGACAGGCAGAGCCCAGCTGAGGGATGAGGCCACCCCSGGATCGATTGCTTTGGGTGTGCAAGGAAGCAGAGCCGTGAAGTGGCCACTTCGCAGCTGATGAAATACCTAGGGCCCACCAGCACTGAACCACATCAGTCACTCACCTTGTTTTGGTCCCTGCACAGTGCAGAGAAAATGTACCTGTAAATATTTTAATCAGTTCTTCAGGCAAACACTCTCYAGGACGACTTTCACTTCAAGCAGCSAGATCTGCTGGGGGCTGCAAGYGGAATTTAATGCATTTTATAAGSTCACTTTTTCCCTAATAACAGCACRGGAGTAAATCAAACAGTCCAGAGTCACACACAGAGCCAGGACAGAATTCACACACCACTGGATCTGCTGGGTTGGATGGAATCCTCCTGGGCAAATCCATTTTGCAGAGGGAAGTGCAGATGAGGGGCAGGAGCAGCCCCACAGCTGACAAGAATCTGAGCTTCTCCCCTCGCCCAGGTCCCGGAATTGTGGGGCTGAGCACTTCCTGTGGGGCTTGCAGGGGCTCAGCCGGGTCTGCACAAGAGGAGAGGCACCAGCAGCAGCGATTTCAGCACAGGTGTTCCCTGGGCAGCCACTTCTGCAGGAATTGAACACCTACAGGGCAGAAAACACACATTTTATAGGGTTCTAGCACACATTTGATGGGGTTCTAGCACACATTTCACAGGGTTACAAACAGAGCAGCAGCCAGCACCAGGTAACAGCAACACAACCTCCCAGGCACTCATAAGAGACCAGCAAACACAAGAAGAATTCAAATGCATTTGGAGATCATTAGGATGGACACAGCATTTGAAGTTCTCCCAGCAAACACCACTCAGAATAAATTCCCAGCCTACAGCACTCCCAAGGTGACACTTGYRGGCCCTTCACTGCTAGCTCAGGTGYGTTGTGGTGACTGAATCCTGCAGAAAGCACCATGGCCCAAGGCCCTGGCTGCCTGCTCCTGTGGAGGGATGTACAGATCAGAATAACTGCTTCAGTTACTTAATGCATTCATTTTCAATGGATTTGTAAAAAAAAAAAAAAACAAAACAACTTTGTGTTTCTTAACTTTAAATATTAAAGTTTTTTCAGCATTTCCCTTATGTTTTCTGGTTCAAAATGTCATTCACACACAAAAAAAAAAACCCAGTGCTGAATCAAACTTCTGTTTTCAGAGTTGTAACAACCTCCACTATTCTTATCTTCCAACCTGATTGGAGGAAAAATGTTCTCAAATTTTCAAAAATTAAGTCCTGTTCTACAACTTCCATCTGCTGTACTGGGAGGTCAGGATAAGATAACTGTGTTTTCCATTCTTTGATTTCTTCAGGGAAGATCTCTCAGCAGGAAAGGTGAAGCAAACGTTAAACTCACCTCATACCTCTTCATTTGGGGTCGGAGTTTGATGGTGTCAACAAACCTAACTGAAAGGAAAAAATGCCCTTGGCCAGTGAAGTCATTTATTTAACAACCAGGGATAAACTGTGAATATAAAAATGTATCCATTCTCTGAGAAATACAGAGTCTAAATTGACAAAGACTGCTTTCCATTGATTCCCTCCTGATACATAAAATCATGGAATCCCAGAATGGTTTGGGTGCAAAGGGCCATTAAAGCCCATCCCATCCCACCCCTGCCATGGCAGGGACASCTCCCACTGTCCCAGGTCACTCCCAGCCCCAATGTCCAGCCTGGCCTTGGGCACTGCCAGGGATCCAGGGGCAGCCACAGCTGCTCTGGGCACCCTGTGCCAGGGCCTGCCCACCCTCCCAGGGAACAATTCCTGCCCAATATCCCAYCCATCCCTGCCCTCTGGCACTGGGATCCATTYCCTGGGTCCTGTCCCTCCATCCCTTGTCCCCAGTCTCTCTCCATCTTTCCTGCAGCTCCTTCAGGTCCTGGAAGGTCACACTGAGGTCACCCCAAAGCTTCTCCTCTCCAGGCTGAACAATCCCAGCTGTCCCAGCCTTCCCTCCCAGCAGAGCTGCTCCATCCTCTGCCCATCCTGGAGCCTCCTCTGGGCTCTGTGCAGCAGCTCCAGCTCCTCCCTGTGCTGGGACCACAACTCTCAAAACCATCCTTCTCCTCTTCTTTGGAAATTACAGCTAAAATGATTTCTGGACCATGTCTCCAGTTTTGGGAAATGATTCATTACACAAAGCCCAAAACCTCACTGGGAATACATCCGGGCAGAGTTCACAAAGCACCACGCTGTGGATCCTGACTGAATGGGAGAAACCTTCAGAGAAGCCTGGGGAGGCTGGATCCTGTCATGCTGATCAGATCTGCAAGGAAAATGAACACATTGAGATATCAGTGCTCACTGAGGTTTCCCCAATTTCCTATGATGTGAGGTGCACACAAGGAGCTGAAGGAAACATTTCCAATATCCCATCATAAAATAACTGCCAGAGAGACAGAAACTGCAATTTTAATCCCCTTATAACTTAGGAACAAATCCTTATAGAGCAGGAAAAGCGTCYGATGCAGGGGGTCACAGCTCCTGGGTCAGCTTTATTCCAAACTCACCTCTGAGCTGCTTCACAACAAGCAAGGAGGGTTTTRTCATTATTTTGGGGAATGGTGTCTAATGTCATCTAATAGATCTGATTGACTTCCTTCCTTTAAAGCCCCTCACAAAACCCACACACACTGAGCTCTGTCAAATTTAAAAACCAAGAACTATGAAGTCCAGCATTGTGCAGAACTTGTCCCTCAGCACTAATTCCTTCCTGAGCTCAGTTCCCTCTGTGTTCAGAGGACACAGCTCCATTTAGACCCAGAAATGACACCTGCAGGGAAAAAAAAAAATCAGTYGTTCTACATATAAGCCTTTAAAATTTGCTTAAAATTCCCCATGAAGTAGGCACAGAGTGAAATCTTCTGTGATTTTAYAATCCCTTTTAAACTTGCAATTGCTGCTAAAGAATAAAACTTTGAAGAATCAGAAGGTTTTACATCTGTTTTTATGCACAAAGTCACAAAGTAATGGAAAAATAAACTCTGACTGGTTGGAAATACATCAAGTGAATGTATTTTCCCCAGAGACACTTTGGTTCTTCCCTGTTAACACTTACTCTCTCTAACAGCATTTTAAGAGAATTAGCACCTTGGCTTGGTTTTACTTCTGCAGGAACAATGAAGCCACGCTCAGAGCAAAGAGGGCTCCCCCAGAACAACTTAAACCCACTTCCTTCCCCTCCTGACTTGGGGGATCTGTGAACATCAGAGATGGAGAAACTGAACCCCCAGAGTTTTTGGCCTCCCACCCAGAACTGCTGCAAACCTCGGTGAGAAATGATTTAACCAAACTGCTCCTGAATGACCCAAGGGAGAGGCCTCTGCCACACTCACTCCCACGGTGGTTTGGAATTCAGGACGTATTTCCAACTGTATGAATAACTATAACTACAAATATAAATATAAATATAAATATAAATATAAATATAAATATAAATATAAATATAAATATAAATATAAATATAAATATAAATGTATTCTACCCTAAATCAGCAACAAGTGTGTTTAACGGATTAACAATCTTAAAAACCCCTTGCTGTGCAAGATGATTACCCTGAAGCTCAGCTTTGGGCATTCCCTGCAATCGTGCCTGCTCACAGCACGAGCACATCTCCTCGAAAAGGAGCAGGGAAAGATCCCAGGGGAGCCAGCCCTCTCCAGAACTCCAGGATGGCCCAGGCACCGGTCATTCCAAGGCTCTCCTTTGCCAAACTGGAACGCAGCAGCTGCAGTTGTGCAGCCGCAGATGGAAAGGGCACAGCTCACCAGGTAATGGCTCCAAACGGGGGCAGCGCTGGCAGCTCCAGCAGCAGCAGCTGCATCTCCAACCATCGCAGCGATTTCCATCTCATCTCCAAGCATCGCAGCGATTTCCATCTCATCTCCAAGCATCGCAGCGATTTCCGCGCCTCTCACAAAGGCGCTGATGGCTCTGGAAGTGCTTCGGGCGGGGGATGAGCCTGACTGCGCTCAGATCCCCCATTAGCGAGCTTTGTTCCTCAGGTATTACACGATAATAAGGCCGGGAGAAATTCTTGACACCGAAATTACTCTCGACTCGTGTTTGAATTCCTGGGAGAAGATAACATCTTAATAAAAAGTTCCAGYTATTCTTGGCGCAGGGACAATTCTATCTATAGAGCCATTCCAGCGGCTGGCACAGAGGATCGGTACCGGGGAAGAGGGAGCTAATTACCCTGAAAGCTTCCGATGTACAGCTAATGCGGCTGGATGCATACACACAAAAGCATCATCCCCCAGGAGCCCTTCGCTTGTCTCCAGTGCTTCCCGCCGAGCCCACAGCACAGCAGGGTGACACGCTGCCAGGCCATTTGCATATGCCACATTAAAGCTGCATTGCCATAAATATTCTGCTTTTCGCAGCTGCCTGTCTCGGGGCTCGTGAAGCACTCAGGCAGATGTTATTCACAGAAATGATGCAACTCCCCGACCAAGGTATACCTGATAAACCATCAGCAGCCTTTGCTCGTGGCTGAAGGGACTCGAAGGCTCATTTAAACYCCATTTAAGATCTTTTAATGAGATCAGACCACAGGTTTTTCATTGCTAAGCATATCTTACCTCCTGGAGAGGGGCTGAAATCTGTGCCTTGGAGGTGAAGGCAGGGCAGGTGAGGCAGGTTTAACCAGGAATGGGTTATAAGAGGAGGGCTGGAAATCAGTGTCTTCCAGCCGGGAATAACCCGGGATTAACCCAGGATATCCCGATGGGAAGATGATCTCTCTGCTTTCTCCTGTACACCTGTGCCCAGGTGTTTCTTTGGGGGTCCCCTGGTGAGTGAGGGAACAGAAATAAATTCCAYTTTTGTTTGTAGGGTTGTGGCTGTCCCTGCCTGGCTGTCCTGGCCCTGCTGCCTCAGCAGCTGGAGGATCCCTGCTCAGGATCCCACTGCCCCAGGCAGGATCAACACCTTCCAGCAGCGCGGAGCTGGATGGATTTCCTATCCCGCCCTCCGGGAATTGACAGCCCACAGAAGTGACACAAGTCAGAAGCCAAGCAGCTTCCTGTCACCTGGAATGCTGGGGGACACCTTAAATCACCAGCAGGAAGTGCCCAGCTGGGCTGGGCCAGCTCTGAGCAAACCTGCAGGCTTTTTCCCATGAGATTCCAAGCAGGAGCACACTGAAATCACCAAACACGACAAAGCAGATGGTCTGTAGCAAAAYCTTCTTTTACAAATCAAAGCAGAGCAAATGAACCATTTTTAATGCCCATCCCTTATAAAGTGCAAAGATTTCACAGCCACCTCGGAAGAGTTTCCTGTGCTGTCAGCATGACAGTAATTTCCATCTGATTGTCACAGCTTTCATTCAGCCCCAGCAGCAGCTCTGGCAGCAACAATYAAAGTTTGGTTTTTGACTAATAACTCAGCTACATTAATTTGCAATGTACACCTGAAATACCCTGTTAGGGTTGTGGAAGCAAAATCATCACGTTAAAAAGGAAAAATTACAAAAAAATCAGAATGCTATAAAGTAAGAAAATAAGATTCATAATTTTAAAAATAAAAATCTCTCCTGTCAGATATAGCCTGTATATATTTAGCACATTAGAATTAACAGTCATTTCTGAGTATTATCATTATACCAGGTTATTACCAGATTATTGCCATTCCACCCCACAGATTCAGGTWCTGATTAGTTGATCCTGTGCTGCTGTATCCAATTCTTGTTAAAGCTCTCATCCTTCATAGCCTTTACCAGCCAGTCCTTCTCGTTCTCCTCCTCTGAGTCACTCATTTCACTGGAATCAGCAGCCAGRAGCCGGGAATAATTAATTTTTCTCTGCCGTGGCAGTCTGGATTGCACAATTACAAAGAAAAGGAGCCAGAGCCCCAGCCCCATGCAGCTGGCCTGGAACAAAACTGCCAGCCCGAAATGCTGCACCACAAACCCCCCGCCAAAGCTGCCCAGGCCGGCTCCGGCCGCCGGGCACAGCCCCCGCAGCAGGGCATGCAGGGCACGCTCCGTGCCCGGTGTGGCCACGTCCCCCACTGTCCCCTGCAGCTGCCATCCCAGCGCCGCGCTGCCGAGGGTGGACAGAGCCTGCACAGGCAGCACTGCCCACGGAGCCTGGAGCAGGGAATAGCTCAGGAGCTGTGCTGCCAGCAGCCCCAGGCTCAGCACCACCATCCTGTGGCCCGGCAGTGCCCGCAGCAGCCGCTCCCTCAAGGGATGAATGCCCAGCTCGACCAGCGGCCCCATGGCCACCCAGAGCCCCATCAGGAGCTCGCTACCACCCTGGTCCTGCAGCTGCCACAGCAGGAAGTTGTGCTCGGCAGAGCTGGCAGCAGCCACGAGGAACACAGTGCCAGCAAACAGCAGTGCCCGGCCGTCC